TGAAGACGGACCCTAGAACACAGCCTCATTCATATGGCACCCAGCTGCGGAGGAGCAGGACTGATGTCCCTCTGAGCAACCAGAGACATGGCCCAGCCCATCAGCGAGGGGTGTCTGGCAGGCAGAGGGACAAGACTCTGGAGTCCTGGCCTAGGCAAGCCACATCCTCTCCCTGGGCCCGGGTTTCCCCACCGTTCCAGCTCACACCTCAACATTCAGTCTATGCTCTAGCTAAGCTGTTTACATCTCTGCCTACAGCTACCCAACCCACCCCACTTAGACTGGGAGCTCCTGCAGTAGGGCCTGTCCTTGGCTGGCTCAGCTTTTAATAGGCACTCAGTCAGTGTTGAGCTAATAAGCAGCTGAAATTAAATGCTCTCCTCGCACCCACTCTGTGCCAGGCTTCCTACCCGTGCTCCCTATGTGTCACCGGGGATCCTCCCAACAGTGCTCCTGGGAAAACTTCTTAATCCCCACTTTCCAGCTAAGGCAACCGAGGTCGAGAGAGCTTGCGGCTGGTGTCCGTTGGGGTGGGGCTGGGGCTGAGCTGCCGCTGTCGCTGTCGGGCTCTGAACCAGAAACAGAGTGCTACCAACTGAGGGCCCCCCTTCCCAGGTTCTTTATGGCCTGGGCGGCAGTGGGCAAACAATCATTGGGGGGTGGGGGGCGGGCGGCTGGCAAGGGTGACTGCAGGCTGGGCGACAGAAGGAACACAGTCTGAGGACACCACTGAAGTGCATCTTCAAACACTGCGGCCGCGCTGTGGGCACCGGGAAACCACAGCCGCCCACATCTCAGCGGCCGGGCCAGCCCAGGGCGGGAGGCCGAGCTGGCAGTGGCAGAGGGCGGCTGAGGGGCATGCAGGACGGCAGGAAGGCAGGGAGTAGGCAGGGACCTGCCAGGCTCACCCACAGAAGGCCTCCGCTGGTGGCAGGGTGGGCAACACGATTTGCCAAGCCCTTGTCCAAAACTATTAAGAATTTCAATATGGTAACAGCAGAACTTTAAACTGACCTTGGGGTCCTCTCAAGTGTGGGCCTTTTGGGTCACATATTCATGAGGCCGGTCCCGGCCAGTAGGCTGTTTGCCCAGGCTCCCAGCCCCTGGTTCTTCTTGGCAAGGCTCTTGGGTAGTAGATACCGTGTAAAAGGTCTGGCCCTTCCTTGCCTAGCGGGGCCCATGTAACCCACAGTACAGGGCAGGGCATGGCAGGGCTGACAGAAGGGCCAGGCATCGGGAAAAGTCATGCTGGGGACTTTTTTGGAAGCCATGTGGACAAGGCCATGCCAGCACACTGCTGGGATGGCTGGCAGATAGGCAGGCAGGGAGGCAGTGTTGGGCCTGCTTGGTGACTCATACCCGCCTGGCTGCTCAGAGATACTGTGCTGCTGCTTCCACTAAGAAGATACTGGGGAGAGGTCCTGGGGTATCCAGATTCCCTGGCTGGGCTACCACAGACCTGGAGCCCGCAGGAAAGCCCAAGGTCCTGTGGGTGCCGAGAACCGGGCAGGTAGCTTGGCCTCTGGAGGAGGGTATTCTATCACCAGAAAGGACTTAGAGCCTTCTTTGAGCCTACATCCCCCAGGCTGACCCTTGGCAACAGGGATGACTGTGTTCACAGGCTCATGGCCCGCCTCCGCCCTGCATAAGATGTCTCTAAGGGGCAGGTCTGAGTTCCAGTTGTGTCTGCCACCATGGTCCTCAGCATAAGGAAATACTGGTGAACACACGAGGTAGGAGGACATCGACTCCTGCCTCATTTGTCTTAGGGCTGACATTTAGCTTGAAGGTCAAAGAATGGAAGTATGCTCTTGGTTAGCAAAATGGCAGGACATACTCCCTCCACACATGAGTTATGTGCACATCTGTGTGTATGTGTGTCCTTGTGGGAAAGCATGTGTGAGGAACATACGTGTATAGGGTGAACTTATCATATGGAGGGTGAAGTTCTCGATCTTGATCGAGGTGAAATATGCCTGTCTGCTTGGGGGTGCACATAATACACACGTATGCGGGATGAGGGATGTGCAAGTGTGGGTAGGGACACGGGGCATGAGGTGCATGCACGTGTACATGTTCTAGGTGGGAGGCACCTGTGCCCACTTGGGGAGTACCTGCACACATAGGGGCCATCCTCTGCTGCTTGGACTTCATCTCTGAGCCAGTCACCCCCCGGGTCCAGGGGCCAGACTTACTCATGGCCTTGGGATTTCAGGCTGCCTGGTTAAGTCTAGACTCTGCCCCTAACTCACTGTGTGCCTTTGGGCAAGTTACATAAACCTTCTTTGCCTCAGTTTTATCATCTGTAAAAGGGGCTTATGACAGCACCTCCTTCATAAGCTATGAGGTATGAAAATTGGTGTTTGGTACCTACCTAGTAAGGGCTCAACAAAAATTAGCTGTTATTAGTACCCGGGCTGGTACTGGGGGCTGGGGGCTGCTGCTGAATTGGCTGCTGAGAACAGGGTTGGGGCCTGTATCCATTCATCTCTATGAAGGCGATGGGCAAGTTCCAAACACTGGCTTCCCCGGCCTGAGAGGCGAGAATAGGGGAGGGGACGGCCCCTGACAGTTCCCTCAGACTCCATAGAAGACCCTGGGGAGGCTGCTAGGAATCCCCAGATTGGGAACACACACATGGCAAGGCATGGCAAGGTAGAAGCAGCTTTTTTAAAAAAAAACAGCCCTCCTGGGACAGTTGAGCTGGGCCCCAGAGGCCACCCACCCACTGCAGGGACTGGCGGCCGCTGGGGGACGAGGTAAATCACCCGCGATTGCCCTCTGGAATGCGGTCGCTGTGAAAGGTAACACGCATATTACTGCTACATAAACACAGTTAAACTATTTACCATGGCCTCGGCCTGGCGGCCCCAGGAAGACCCTGCCATGCAGGGGTGGGTGGGCCAGCCTCAGTTCTGCAGGCCACGATGGTTGGGGAGAAGGATTTATTTTGGCAGGAACCAGATCCCTGGCACTTTCCCCGCTGCCACCCAACCAAGGGCCTGGCATGGCCCAAGGGAGGCATCTTTTCCCAGCCCAGAAAAAACTGTATTTTGAAATTATGGCATGTCAAAGAACAACAAAATCTCTTTGTTTTGTTTAAGCCCTTGTCCTTTAGCCCATTTTGTGGTGGGCACTTTTTTCAAGTAAGCAGGAGCTTCAGCCCTCAACCCCGAGAATGCGCTGGGGTAGATTTCCTCAGCGATCCTGAGGAAGAAGGTTCAGCTCTGCTCCCCAGGAGCCCCCGGTGTGTGGGAAAGAAGCGGGCCGCCTGCCCGCAGCAGCCTCTGGTCTGAAGGCAGAGACGCAGCTCCGCTCCGTCTTCAGCTCTCTCCTTTGCTCTTGCTCACTCTCTAAGAGTGGAGGCACAGTTCTGTTCCTCAGAATGGGAAGCCCTGCCCAATCGGAGGGTGGACGGGACCACCTCAGGGTTCAAGGCCTCAGGCAGACTCACTCAGGGAATGGGCAAAGGCCCTCAGGGTGGCTGTGGCCTTTCAGGCCTTCCCGGGGGAAATATCCCAGTTGTTCCTTAGATTCATTCAGAGCAGGCATCCTTATCTGGCTCTGGTGCTGGTTCTAGCCTGGGTCCATTTCCTTTCAGCAGATGAGCCATGGCTTCCTTCCTTTTTGGTTGTTTTTGTTGTTGTTTGTTTGTTTAAAAGTTACCAGGGTCACCAAAGAGGTCAGTGAGGCTGACAAACGTTGGAGGGATTTACTACCAGGGTGTGGAGGCCCTGCCCACCTCCCAGCCTCCTCCCTGGCCCCTCCAGGCCTCCCCCTCCTCCCCTGCTCTGGGGGCTGCCCCTGCATCGGCTTCCTGTGCCCGCTCCTGCAGCTCCTGTACCTGGAGGGCCCCCCTCAACCCTTCCCACCGGTCAACGAGACCTTCTTTTCTCCCAGCGTCTACACAACCCAATCCAGTTCATCCGGGTTAATCTGCTCATCCTCCATCTCTCCTGCTAGTAGTCACCACTATTCACTGAAGGTCTTTGCCACTCCCAGCGCTGGCCTCTGCCTCCTTAGCTCGAAGACGCGCACTCCAATTTGCCACTACCCCGCGGCAGGTGGGAATTTCCCGCCCGTTACAGCAAGGAGGAACCCGAGGCTGCGAGAGGCTGGCTCTTCTCTCCCAGGTGACATAGCTGGTGAGTGGGATGGGGTCCGATGGCTGTGCTCTGTCAACGGCACCACCTTGCCCGCCCAACCCCACGCCCCATGGATCCAGGAGCAATGCGTTCTCTAGTAGGTGGGATCAGAAAGGGTTCAGGTGGGGTTTTGTTTTAGTAAGGGAGTGAGGTGATCATTCAAACAGTTGATCTCCGAAAAGAGCAGTTGCCCTGATCATGCTGCTCCTTCAGTACCTTTTTGTTCTTGTTTTTTGATTCACATTTCATTTATTTGTATCAACAAGTGCAAGAGGCCAAAAAGCAAGTCTCTGCCATATCCCAGTGCCATGGGCCCCTTCTTTCCAGGGGCTTCAGCTGTGGTGAATCCACCCTGAAGCATCCCCTGCCTCGAGAGCATTCTTGCCCGGCTTCCCGTGGTTTAATTCACTCACGTGCACTTTTAAAGTCAATTAAACTTATCACATCAGAATCAAAACTTTTTTTTTTACCCAATTTAATCCAATTATTCTTTGAACTTGATTTCAAATAACAAACTCTTTGCTTGAGGACAGTTTTAGATTTACAGAAAAATTGCAAAGGCAATGCAGAGTTCCCTTACACTCCACACCCATGTCTATGATAGACATCTTCCAGAGTTTGGTATATTTGTTATAATTAATGAACTCAAATTGATACATTATTTATTGTTAACTGAAGTCTCTACTTTTTTCAGATTTACTAATGTCCTTTTTCTTTTCCAGGATCCCATCCAGGACACTGTGTTAAATCTAGTCGTCACGTCTCCTTAGCCTCCTCTTGGCTGTGACAATTCTTCATTTCCTTGTTTTGGATGACCTTGACAGGTTTTGAGGGGTACTGGTCAGGTATTTCTGTAGAATGTCCTCCATCACGATTTGTCTGGTGTTTTTCTCATGACTAGGCTTGAGTTAGGTATTTATGAAGGAGGAATACAGAGAGATAAAGTGTTAACTTTCCTCATGTCATATCGAAGGTACAAATTATGAAGATCACTTATCACCATGAATATTGACCTTGATCGTCTGGCTGTGGTGCTGTTTGTCAGTTTTCTTCACTTTTCCTCATGCCCACTGCCACTCCCCTGCCCCCTGCCCCCTACCCCAACCCTTTCCATACTAATCTCTTTGGAAGGAAGCCACTATGCAGAGCTTACACTGAACAGCTGAGGAGCTATGATCTCCCTCCTTGAGAGTGAAACATCTACCTCACTATTTGGAAGTCAGTTCTGCACAGGAGATTTGTCTCTTCATTCCCATTTACTTATTCAATCATTTATTTATATCAATATGGACTCATGGAAATTTATTTTATCCTTCAGGTTATAATCCAAACTACTTTATTTCATTTGAAACTGTTCCATCTTTGGCCCTTGGGAGTCCTTTTAGTTGACTCCTTTGGGGTTTTTTGAGCACTTCCTTACTTTCTGACACTACAAGATACTGGCTTGCCTTGTGTATTTCCTGTCCCAGTCCCAGAATCAGCCTTTACTCCAAGGAGCCCTGGAGTATAGAGCCAAGATCTAAGCCCTAGATGTGCTTGGGGTATAGTTGCTAATAGACCCAGCTGACAGAGAAAGGAAATATATGTGTGGGTACTAACCCATGTATGCATACATTTCTATAAGTATTTCTTCTTTTTTAAGATAGATTTATTTATTTATTTATTTATTTATTTATTTATTTATTTATTTATTTATGAGAGAGAGAGAGAGAGAGAGAGAGAGAGAGAGGCAGAGACACAGGAGGAGGGAGAAGCAGGCTCCATGCCATGCCAGGACCGGACGTGGGACTCTATCCCAGGACTCCAGGATGGCGCCCTGGGCTGAAGGGGGCGCTAAACCGCTGAGCCACCCAGGAATCCCTCTATAAGTATTTTTTTTTAATTTTATTTATTTATTTATTTTTAATTTTTTTATGATAGTCACACACAGAGAGAGAGAGAGAGGCAGAGACACAGGCAGAGGGAGAAGCAGGCTCCATGCACCAGGAGCCCGACGTGGGACTCGACCCCGGGTCTCCAGGATCACGCCCTGGGCCAAAGGCAGGCGCCAAACCGCTGCACCACCCAGGGATCCCTCTATAAGTATTTCTTATGTAACCATCTATATCTATCTGAAGCTAAACATGGCCCCAACTCGATTACCACATGGATCATTCTAGCCTTCTCCCCTTTACTTGTCTGTAATCTTTCATTCCAGCAGTGAGAAACCTGGCTCCCACCATCTGCTATTCATCTACTTAATTGCTTGACTCCAGTACACATGTATACGATTTCAGATTGCTAACCTATATTTCTATGGGAAACAACTTGATCAATGAGAGTCCAGTGCTTATGCGCTGTTCCTCTGTCTTTGCTCTTACAGACTCTATTCATTTCCAGAGTAACTTAGCATCTTTCCTTCCATTCCTTTCAGTGAGGTGTTCTAAAGTTTTGAAGTTTTGTAATATCGTGATTCTTTTGCCACAGTCTACATTCTGGCCCATGACCTCCCAATCCCCTATGTGCTTTTTTTTTTAATGCACATAGATTGAGGCTCACTCTTTATACTGTTAGGTTATGTGGGTTTTGACCATCACTGTGTTATGTATTCACCAATTTGGTGTCACACAGATGGCCCAACCACCCTGAAATATTTCTTGAGCTTCATCAATTCAACTCTCTCCCCACCCTGATCAGTTTACCATCTCTATAGTTTTGCCTTTTCCAGAGTGTCATATAATGGAATCATACAGTATATAACTTTTTCGTACTGGCTTCTTTCATTCAGCAATACTCATTTAAGATTCATCCATGTCTCTGTGTGGCTTGACAGCTCATTTTTTTTTAATTGCTAAATACTGTTAAAATTAGTGAATATTCCACGGTTCATGTATTCACCCATTAAATGATATCTTGGTTACTTTGGCAATGATATTTTTGTAAATTCTGAATAAATTGCTTGTATAAATATTTATGTGCTGGTTTTCATATTGGATGTAAGTTGTAAAATCAGTTGAGTAAACACCTAAAAGTGCAATGATTGGATCATATATGGTATTACATATATATATATACACACACAATAGAATACTACTCAGCCATCAAAAAATGAAATCTTGCCATTTGCAACAACGTGGATGCAACTAGAGGATATTATGCTGAGTGAAATAAGTCATTCAGAGATCTCTCATATGTGGAATTTAAGAAACAACACAGAGGATCATAGGGAAGGGAGGGAAAAATAAAACAAGATGTGATCAGAGAGGGAGACAAACCATAAGAGACTCTTAATCATAGGAAACAAACTGAAGGTCATTGGAGGGGAGGGAGTGGGGGATGGGTTAAGTGGGTGATGGGCATTAAGGCGGGCATGGGAAGGAATGAGCACTGGGTGTTATATGCAACTGATGGATCACTGAACTCTACCTCTGAAACCAATAATACTTTATTATGTTAATTAACTGAATTTCATTAAAATTTAAAACTTTTAATTTTTTTTTTTATGATAGTCACAGAGAAAGAGAGAGAGAGAGAGAGAGAGGCAGAGACACAGGCAGAGGGAGAAGCAGGCTCCATGCACCGGGAGCCCGATGTGGGATTTGATCCTGGGTCTCCAGGATCGCGCCCTGGGCCAAAGGCAGGCGCCAAACCGCTGCGCCACCCAGGGATCCCTAAAATTTAAAACTTTTAAAGAGTATTTTTGTTTTATAAGAAGCTGCTAAACTTTTTTCAGCTGTACCACTTTGCATGTCTATCAATGATGAATGAGAGTTCTGTTGCTCCCCATCCTCACCAGCAACTGATATTGCCAAGTATTTTTTTGGATTTTAGCCATTTGATTAGGTATGCTGTGGCTTCTTGTTATTGTTTTAATTTACATTTCCCTAAGGACAAATGACAGTGAGCTCCTTTTCATAAATCTATTTCCCATATATATTTTTTCATATATATATATATATATCTTCTTTGGTGTGCTGTCTATTCAGATATTTTGCCCATTTTTAGATTGAGTCATCAAATAACTTTTGATTGATTTATTTATTTTTAAAAGATTTTATTTACTTATTCATGAGAGACACACAGAGAGAGGCAGAGATATAGGTAGAGGGAGAAGCAGGCTCTCTGCGGGGAGCCTGATGTGCAACTCGATACTGGGACCCCAGGATCACAACCTGAGCCAAAGGCAGACGCTCAACCATTGAGCCACTCAGTAACCCCAACTTTCGATTTTTTTTTTAATCTGCCTCTAAGAGAGGAGGGTCCAACTCAACTGAGCACTGTCAGCATTTAGGTGAGACATCTAAGAAGTGTTTGTGGAATAACATTCCATGGAGACCTGGAATCCCATAGCTAAAAGACACCTCAGGGTTCTTTTACAGGAGAGGAAAATGGGATTTTGCGAGGGGAAGTGGTGGAGTGGCAGAGACATCTATTACTCACCACATATCCCAGCACTCCCCATCACTTACTAGACCCCCTCATTCTCAGATGCGATGATAAGGGTAGTCCTGGCCAATCGGCTGTGAATGGAGATGCTGTCCATCACTTCTGGGCCAAAGCATCAGAGAGCCAGTACATAGCTCTCCTGCTCTTTCTCTATCCCTACAGGCACAACCATGGAAGCCATGTGTCTCAATTTGGTATAGCCAACATCTGGGGTTCCTAATAGACTATGTAGAGCAAAGCCCCTGCCAATCTGCCTGGGCTAAATTGTGTGAGCTAGAAAGAAACCTTTGTGGTGTGAATCCACTGAGATTTCAGGGGTCATCTGTTACCATGGCACAGCATGAACTATCCTGACTTACCCAGCCAGTCATTGGGTCATGCTTTTGGCATAATGCTTACATAATCAGAGTCCCCCAAACCTGCAGGTTTGCTGGCCCCAAGGAGAAAAGTTGCTTAACGGAGAGAGATCATTTAAACGAGTAATATGTACTGAGACCTACCATGCACCTGGCCCCATGTTGGCACTGAACCTTCATTATCTCTGCTCCGTCTAGAGATCCAGCTCTCTGCTTAACAGTCTACTCTTGCCATTCACTGGGTCTTATCTCTCCAGATGACACGTAGGGGTTGACGTGTCATTGGAGCTAGATTTTCCAATAGCAGAACAATCTTTATGGGATACTAAGGTAGATCCCCCACCCTCAAGCCCTCAAAAGTCCTTATAAATCATATAAATCATATATCCCCCCTCAAAGTGTTTCCTAATGGGAAGCAAGTCTCAGAAGCTCTGTTCGATCTTTTGCTGCATCTTTTATTCACATCCAGAACTTACTTTCAGCCAACCCCATCCTTTCTAAAAGTGGGAGACATTTCCATCCCATTGTTCAGAAGACAAGCACCTGCCAGTACTTAACACCCCTCTTTTCCAGCTCCGCCCTGCCTGAAGCAAATTGCCCTGGGCTGGGCCTCATAGTAGCCTGCGGGTCCTGCTGAAGCAGCCACATTATCCCAGCCTTCTGATCCCAGTATCTGGGGGCTGGATGCAGCCATTAGGGCAGGGAATGAGCCTCTCTCTGTGTGAAGAAGGGAAGTGATGTGCACAGGGCTCAAAAATTGAGACCTTGACCTCATTAGTGCAATGCTCTGGTCAGTGAGCTTGCAGAAATGTGATGTTGTTAATTAAGCACTGATTTATTTAATCCCCGTTCTTGTGAAATACATGTATTTGCCTTCTTCTTTCCCCAGAGACTGTAAACTCCCGGGGTGTAAGGGGGCACAGCAGGGGGTGGAGCAGGAGGAGGACCAGCCTGGGATCACCCAGACCTGGATTCGTTCACTTCCTGACTGCTCTGACCCTGGGTAACCTTCCTGAGCCTGGGATTGGGTAAAGATTACAAACTTGGCACTGTGCCTGGCACGTAGGAAGCTCTCAGTAAATTATAGCCATTATTATCATGCTGTTAATTATTATTTTATTCTAGCAACTGAAGAATGATTTTCCATTGCTCCCTCTTGATTATTCAGAGGCCGTAACTTGTCGACTGTTGTCCAAAAGAGCTTTCTGCTGTGGTGGAAATGTTTAGTAGCTGCACCGTCCAATATGGTAGCCATCAGCCTCATATGACTACTGAGCACTTGAAAGGTGGCTGGTACAGCTGAGGAACTGAGTGCTTAGCTGTACTGAATTTTATTGCAAAGTTAAATGCAGAAGCTCCTGATTTATGACAGTTCAACTTACAATTTTTTGACTTTATGATGGTGCAAAAGTACTACGCATTCAGTAGAGATTGTACTTTGAATTTCAAACTTGGATCTTTTCCCAGGCTAGCAATATGCAGTACAATATTCTCTCATGATGCTGGGCAGTGGCAGCCACAGCTCCCGGTCAGCTACGCTATCACGAGGGTAAACAGCCCTTACGATGATTACAATGATTCTGTCCCCATACAACCATTCCGTTTCTCACTTTCAGTACAGTGTTCAATAAATTACCTGAGATACTCAACACTTTATTATAAAATAGGCTTTGTGTTAAATTATTTCATCCAGTTTTTGGCTAATGTATCTTGATGTTTAAGGTAGGCTAAGCTAAGCTATGATATTCAGGTTAGGTGTATTAAATGCATTTTTGACTCACGATATTTTACATTTACAATGGACCTATAAGATTGAAACCCCATAAGTTAAGAAAGATCTCTAGTCTCATGAACTTAGTGGCTACTGTATTAGGCACTTTAGGTGCAGAGGGTGAGAGCACAGGCTCAGGGGTGGACCATGTGGCTTCCCATCCTACTTCCTAGCTGTTAAGACTTTGAACTAGTTACTCAGCCACTCTGGGCCTCAGCTTCCTCATCTGCAAAGTGTGGATATTATAGTAGAATAGTTTTTCTTCATCTGCGGTTTCACTTTCTGCAGTTTCAGTTATTCACGGTCCATCTTGGTCCAGAAGCAGCTGATCCTCCCTCGGACTTGGGATCAGAGGGTCAATAGCAGCCTAATGCTAAGTCACAATGCCTCTGCCATTCCCTCACTTCATCTCATCACGTAGGCATTTTATCATCTCACTCATCACAAGAAGAAGGGTAAGTACAGTACAATAGGATATTTTGAGAGAGAGAGCAAGCACATTCATGTAACTTTTTTTTATAACTGTACACAGTTACAATTGTTCTATTTTATTGTTGGTTATTGTTGTTAATCTATTACTGTGCCTAATTTATAAATTAAACTTTATCGTGGGCATGTATGTGTAGGAAAAAACATAGTGTATAGAAGCTTCAGTGCTGTCCGCAGTTTCGGACATCCACTGGGGGTCTTGGGAGGCAGCCCCCACAGATAAGGGGGGACTGCTTCTGGAAATGTGATGTTGTTAGTTAAGTGCCAATTTACTTAATCCCCTCAACGGTCCTCTCCCCACAGGGCTGGTGGGCTTCTTGCCCTTCTTGAGAGCGTTGTGGCCCACAGGAGGCAGGCTCACCCTCTGGTCCCGGGGTTCTGAGGGCAAGGCAGCCTGAGGAAAGCAGCTCAAGTGGGCTCAGGGGCAAAGGGCTCTCTCCATCCCAATCTCCCAGGCAGGGGGGCCATAGAAGCTGAACCGCATCCCCTCTATGCCATTGCCAAATGTGGACACGATCTGGCCCACCTGCCAAACTCGGTCAGAAGAGACCAGAAGTCAGGAAGGCTCTCCCGGGAAGCTTTGGAGAAATGGAAGATCTGGGTCCCGTGCCAGAGCCCTGGAGCGGGGTCTTTGGAATTCCCCCATCCTTCTCACCCCGATGAGGAACTGAATTCTTCCATTTCAGGGAATGGGTGCAAGCCTGTGTCCTTTCCTCTCAATTCCTTCCTCTGCAGGAGTGCAAGGGCCACATGGGGATTTCCGGATCCTGGGACTTCTTGGTGCCCCCAGAAGAATAGCCTCAAATTCCCCCAAAGAATTAATCAGCATCAGAAGCCAAGGACCCTCTGAAGGGTTCGCGGTCCCCAACTTCACCTCGGTTCAGTCCTCACCTGTCCCACACTTGGTAGGAAATGGAAGGGTCTGCAGGCACAGTCCACGTCTCCTCTGGGAGGTGGCCTGAGAGAACATCTCCTCCTTCTTCCCCAATGTCTGGGATGCCTGCTTCTGGAGCCAGGAGCAAGCCACACTTCAGAGCCACAGAGGAATGCCACAGTCCTGTGGAACACAATATTCAAAGACAGGGCATGGGACCGGGACCATCTTTGTTCCTCTTTCCCTGATTTCAGGGTGAGAGACAGCAGGGGGCACCCAAATTAGACTCCTGGAAGGACTTTCTTATGTGGGAAATATGAGACAGTGGGCAGTGGGAGCCAGTTATATTCAATCCTCCGGGAGAGGGCTCTGGTAGAGCAAGCTGATGAGAAATCTAGGCTTTAAAATACACAGGATACATGGCTGATATCATCTCTTAATTAGCTGGATTTGGAGTCAGACAGACTGGAGTTTAAATCCTAGCTATGCCACTGACTGGCTATGTGACCTTGGGCTAATTGTTTAATGATGCTTCTATTCAGTTTCCTCATCTGTAAAATGGAGATAAAGAGACTCACCACCCAGGTCGTTCACTGAGGGAGTCCCCTGGGTGAACGACCCTAGCCCAGTGCCTGGCATGTACTGGGCTACAGAGAGGTGGCCAAGTCTGAGCTGGCTGGAGATTTAGGGTTCAGTGGATGGGGAAGACCAACAGGAATCCAGGCTAGAGGTGGAAGGAGTAATCATCTCAGCTGGAGACAGCCTAGGGGCCCTGCCACAGACCAAGGAGTGGGCCCTCCTCCCTGGGCCAGGCTGAAGATCTCTGTTGCCCAGCCCTGCTCCTACACTCCACTTCAAGGCAACCATGGGGGACAATGAGAAGACTGGGACCCCTTCCTGGAGATCTCTGTTCTTCCAGCAGGCCTCCTATTCCATCTTGATTGGGTGGAAGCCCCTCATGGGGCCAGCCAGAGATAAGTGGTTTCCTGTAGTCTTCCTCCTTCCCCTGCAAGCCCTGTAGAGAATCCTGAGGAACACCCTGGGAGCTGGGGTGCTGGCCTGCTTCAGGTCCGTGCTGCTGAGCAGCAGGGCAGGGAGACCTTTGGTGAGCTGGGGAGCTGGCTTGTGGGCAGATTTGTAGGGGACCCACTTCCCACCAGACTCAAGCATAATTTGAAAACCCACCTGGATCTCTCAGCAGGGACAGGAAAGAAGTTGGCTTTGCTCGGCCCTGGTATGTGGCATCAGCTGGCTCTAGCTTGAGCACCTTTGGGGGCCTCCCTCCCTCCCCCTGCACCTCCCAACAGGGGTGAGAAGGAGTCTAGCCACTGGGCTTTAAGCAGCCTCCTAAAGCCAGCTCAAGCCAGACTCCCCACTGCCAGGGAGGGAAACCAAGAGATGGTGAGCACCTGGGAAGCCCAGCTCTGTGTGACCCAGTGGGTGTCTTGAATTCAGGTTTAGGTTCTTGGATATAAAGGAACAAAGCTCTGTCATAAGATACAGCCTCTACTCCTTAGACTGGGGGTTCCCTGGGAGCAGGGCTGTGTTCCCCATCTGATGGTCTTGGGAGGTGGGGCCAATCAGCTTTGACTTATGCCCACCATCTGAATAAGACCAAGGTGTCTCCAGAAGGAAGTGATCTCTAACTTGTGGTGTCCAGGATCTGAGGGTGATTCCTTACCAATGAAGGTAACTCTTTTTCCTGAAAAGCTGTGAACTCCTGGAAGCTCTTTTGGTGTTTGCTAGATCTTTTTCTTCCCCTTACCTCTGCCTGTCCTTGCAGGGAAAGGAGCCAGGGGCTAGGCTGGGCCCACTGTGGACTAAGATATAGAGGGACGCCTTGCTCCAGGCGCCTTCTGTCCCCCTCCCCCACTTCCACTCCCGTCCCCCCTCTCAAGCCAGCCCCTCTGGCCTCTGCAGCCCTGCGTTGCCCAAGGCACCCCACCTCGGCACTGTCCTCCACTCCTTTGCTCACAGAGGAGGGTGCTTGTCTGCCCACTACCAGGCACAAAGGATAAAAATACCCAGTGGAAAAACACGTGGCTCCAAGTCAAACATTAACCTGCAAGACCTGGCATTCTGTCCACGGTGTCCCTTCTCAGGCTACCTGGCCACCAACATGCAGCTGGTGACGATATCCTTTCCCTCTGACCATCATTGTGACTCTCAGACATTTACCTACACACTTCCAGCAGGAAGCACGCACCTGAGGACCCCAAGGGCACAGGTCTGGCCAATCTGTCCAAACTGGTAACTGCAGGGGTGGGGTGATCCTCCCTCCACTCAGCCTGGGGTCTCCCCTGAAGCTCTCTGAGCTTCCAGCTCAGCCCAGCTCCCAGCTCTCTGACCCTCTGGGGGAGGAGCCCAGCTCAGAGATCCTGGGTTCCTCGGGGTTGCCATCCATCTGCTCCAAAGCCAAGTTCACTTCAAATCAGGAAGGAATGATAACTGGTGAGGGGCTGGCGGGGCATGAGAAGAGGAGACAGCCTAGCCAGTGGGGGCACTCACAGCTCAGCAAGCTGGGAAGCCACCTGGAGGAGGTATTGGGAGAGGCAGGCAGGTGAGAAGTTCCAGCCCCGTCCCTACCTAACCCTGTGTGTCCAGCTCTCGTACTACTAGGTGGGTCCTGTTCATCGGCATCTTCACAGCTGCCTGAGGCTCAGCCTGGCGACAGTCTGCCCCCCTGCCCCCCTGCCTCCCTGCTCCCTGCTCCTCACACCTCTGGGGGCTGATGCCCAGTGGTTCTAGGAAGTGCCTGTGCAGCAGCCTTGAACCGGAGCCAAGTGCCCCATTTTCTGTCAAGGAAGCTTGACTATGCACAATGAAAAAAGAGTAAAGTCCATCTGAGCACAGCACAACTGCCCCATCCTTCTGGCTGGCTGGAGGCCAGTGGGCCCACTTGGAACCCAAAAAGGATTTAGGGGGCCTGGGACCAGGGAAGCCCTCCTGGCCACTTTGATATCCACAGCAGCATTGCATACGGCAGAGGGTGTGTAAATATTAATTTTGAAGGGGAAGCGGAGGGTTTGCATGGCAGTCAGCAGGGCCTTGCCCTCCTCTCTTGGGGCAGCGGAGAGTTAACCCTTTGGGGATTGGCCTCCTCTGGCTCTATCACTGGGTCAAGAATCCAGCACCAGACAGAGGTTGGGAGGCCTCGTGCCTGGCCTCTGAGGAATAGTCAGGCTCCCCCAGGCACAGGAGTGCCTCCCCGGCACTGTCCCCCCAGGCTCCTGGGGACTTTACCCACCAGGGTTAATGTTGCTGTGCAAGGACAGGGCTCTGGAGATAGTGCCTGAGGCTCTGCCCTGCTGCCAAGCCAGCAGGCCCACCCAGGAGGCCCCATGGGCTCTGCAAGTCTGGGGTAGAGACCAGTTCTGCCACTGAGGTAGCCACATGGTCTTGTAGGAGTTACTAAGCTTCTTTGAGCCTCAATGACCTCATCTATACAATGGGGACAGTTATGTCCAGCTCTCAGTTTCCCAAAGATTAAGTTGTTCGGTCACTCCGTTAGTACCTGGCAAATGAAATTATTCCAGAGATGGTTGTTCTAGTTAATTCTTTTCTCCATTCTGGGCCTCAGTTTCTTGATCTATAAAATAAAATTAATCATGCCCCGCTCACAGGACTACGCGGGCCGGCCTCTATATCATGGCCCACGGACATCGGTCCATAATCGTCAGCACAGCTGTCACCCGTTCCCCTCTCTGCCCCTCAGTGTCCTCACTGGGTTTGCTCATCTCTAAGGACCCCCGCTGGAGGTCCAGGGCACTTGCCACCTGCTCCCTGAACACAATCACACACCCTGCTCTTCCCCCCTTCTTGCCCGAGCCAGAACTGCATCATATCGCCCTCATTATCGTGCTGACATTTGCTTTGGCTCACGGAGCAAGTACCTGTTAAATTGAACAAAGACCGAAAAAGAGGCAGATAACAGGTCAGCCAGAAGCCTTGGCTCTGGAGAGAGAAGCAGGCAGAGGTGTTAGCCCGAGCCCTGACCTCAGGGCCGAGAAACAAAGCCAGTGATGCGGGGCGGTGGGTATGAGGTGGGCTTCGGATTAATTTCCCCCAGCTGAGAAGCCAGAGCTGGGGGGAAAGGAGGGATGTTTGCATCTGGATGCCATCTGGACGAGGGTAAACACCGAGGGGCCACTCGAGGAAATGCCTGAGCAGCAAATCAAATCCTGCAAAGAAATTGCCGAGCCCTTGAAATAAATGTCTGAGGGAGAGGAATGTGTCTGGGAGTGCTGGTGGTGGAGGGGAGACCAGGTTAGGGAAGGAAGCCAAGGGGAAGAGGAAGGGAGCAAGCCTAGGGGCCTCTGGGGAAGGGGGCCTCTCTGGGCGGCTGGACCTCCGGGCTGGGGGTGATGAAGGCAGGGTCTCCGGACCCAAAGAAGGTCTACATTCCCTCAGAATTCTGGGACTGACTGGTTCCCTGTAGCACCCCCAACCACTTGCCACACCCAGGCCCTAGAGGGATGCTACCCTTGAGATCAAGGAGCTTGTCTGCTCCGTGGGCACCGCTAAAGCACCTACTGTATGCATAGCCACAGGTGCAGAAAGCCTATACTCTATGGTGTGAATGGGCAGAGTGTGGTGGTTTTAGGTTCTGACAGACTCAAGTTCAAATCACCTCTCTCCCTAAACTGGCTTTCACAAAATTTAACCCTTCCAGGCAAGGCTCCATTTTCTCATTTGTAAGAGGATAATCTTACAGCCTCTTAGGCCTTCCCTGAAAATTCGACCAGTGCTAACACTAAGTGGGGCTCCAGAGCAAGGCAGGAGGTCTGGGGGACCCTCAAACCCCCATGGACTGGGGACTGCATCCTCCCCAGTCCCCACCCCCAAACTGATGCAACAGGGCTGGCCCTGGCCCTGCCCAAGGGAGGTACACTATGACGCAACCCCAAGGGGGGATGTCGGGAAACACACTCCCCCCAAGTCAGCTGACAGCTGTGAGGTCTGGGACACATGGGCCTTCTCCCACCGCTCCACAGTATTCCACCCAGACGGGCACACACCTGTATGTGTGCACGCACGCGTGCTTGTATATTTGTGTGCGCACGTAAGTACGGGTGTGTTTGTACACGTTTTTGCATCTGTGGATGTACACATGTGCTTATGTCTACATATGTATATTTTGTGTGTGTTTATTTGTATATGTTTTGTGCAGATGAATGTGTGTT